TCAAGATTTTGAAAGTCAATGTTTAATTTTAAAAAATGCAAGTATGGCATACATTTTTTGACATGCATGATAAGATTTTATTGCTGCAAACAAACTAAACTATGTAAAAACTATTTAGTAACATAAAGTAATTATGTTGTAAATAAACTATTTAGTGACATAAATTAATTATTTTGTAAATAAACTATTTAGTGACATAAATTAATTATGTTGTAAATAAATTCTATTAAAAAATTAAAAATTATTAAAAAAAATTATTGCAGTATGATTGGTAGTGTAAAGATGATAGTATGTGTTTTTATCTTTGGTGGCTCAAGGAGGTGCAAAAAATAACTAAATCATGGAATTAGAATACATTGGCACATTCTTACAAGTTAAATAATTTTGACATGGTATTACTTAAATCATCATGGTATTACTTGACTTTAAAATTAAACAAAATATTTCTAAAAGATCTAAATATATAACTTTGTACGTAACATTTGAACTCACAAGATTTTTTGATAAAAAAATCATAAAAAATTAAATAAATTATTATATAATATCATATTTTGATGAATTAATATTTTTTTAAAGTATATTATAATCATTTAAAGTTTATAAATGTAATATAAATTATTTTTAGAAAGATAGAAAAATAAAATACTACCAAATTTTGCTAATATATTTGTGTAGTGAATCTGCCAAATATTGTATTACTATTGTAAAATATAGGTTTTTTCATATTAAATATATTTTATAACCAAAAATTTAAAAGATGATCACAAAATATTTTTTTGGAGTTATTTTTATATTTAAATGAAATTTTAAATATCTTTTAAAATATTTTTAAATAAAATAAATTTTATGTAAATTCTATAAAATTCATATTTTAGTACTTCAATATTTTAATTACTATATTTTTTAAAGTTTTAAGATTATAAAAGTTGAAGAAATTTATAATTTAAAATTATATATTATATTAAACATAATTTTTTATTTATAAAATTATTTTTTATTTAATATATTTTAGAATTATTAAATAATATGATTTATTAATATATATATATATATATATAAATATAATTCTTAAATATTATTTATTAAAATTTAGATGTGATCTAAGAATTAGATTTATTACAATGTTATCTTTATTTATTAAATTTATCTAAATAATTAAATTTCTTATTAATATTTTTATATTTAATAAAATTTTATGCTAAATTTATAAAATTGTTATGAATCTACTCAAAGTTATCAAGAAATGTTTTAATATATATATATATATATATATATATATATATATAATTAGAATAGTGTATAAATGAACTATTTTTTAAAATTAAATACAACTTTATTTTTCTTTTATTTATATTAACCTAAAATATCTTCATGTAAAAGATTTTGAAGGACCAAAAAGCTTCTGATACAAATATCCAAGTTATTGAATATTTTTATTGTAGATTCATCAATCCATTAAACTTCTAAGAGAAGTTTGTACAATCATATGGCATATATAAGGATAACTTTGAATCTAAACCAAGCCTACAAAATATCCACTATGTTGTATAAGGTAATATTTTGTATCTAATTCAGTTTAATTAATTAAAATAAATTTGATTACTTCTACTTATCTCTACTTATGTGTAACTATTTTAAAGTAATACTGGTATCTCAGTATGTTTTTTGAACAATCAAAAGCATTTTATATTCAAGTCAAATAATCATCTTATTATCTTATTATTTTTAGAGCTTTACAATTATTTATGAACAATACATTGCCATGAAATGTGGTATTTATTTCAAATAATTGCACCAAGGATTGAAATTATTAAGAATAACATCTATTGGTTTAACTTTTGGATTAGAATTTCATATTTATTTCAGCTTCTGTAAATATAGCATTTATTTTAAAAACATTCTTTGCCTGTACAATTTTATAGCCATCACCAAGATGGCACATTTAAGTATTGGCATTTTGTTTTTTTGTATTTTTTTGTTTTTTTGGCATATTTGATTCAGCATAAGATTCTTAAGACTTAAACAAAATCTTAAAGATTCTTAAGACTTGTTCATGTTTGTCAAAAAAATTATATATCGTAAGCGGATTTTTCCTTTAATTTTAATTATTATAATTAGTAGTTCTTACCATCAAGATCTTTTAATACGAAATTTATAGTAGTAGATTATATGATTAAGCAGATGTGGTTCACACTGTTCCATAAACAGAATATGTGTATATATGTATGTATAATAAAGTTTTTAATTGTTAATTTATTTTATTGTCAATCCTCAATACATCAAAATTTCTTTTAGTTTCATATTTTTATTTTTTAAAAATGCTTTAAATAATTCCCATAGAATTTCTTAGCAACCTCTTAATTTTAAATTTAAAAAATTAAATAATGATGTATGTCATTACAAGTAATAATTTTAATTTTTTATATAAATAAAAAAATACAATAATACTTTAAAAGTATACATATATATATATATATATATATATTCACACAAGGAATTGTCAAATTGATCCAAGCATTTACTAAATCAACCCACCCATCTTAACCATCATCAAAAAATTCTCCATTGCTAGATCCACATTGATCAAAAACCAATGAAAAAATGGTTGGATCCTCAACCAATGATGATAAGTGGATCAATTAGTAAATGCCTTGGTCAATTTAACAATGCCCTATATATATTATGAATTTAAGAATACACTTTAAATTTTACAAGTCATCATAATTTGTTTTGAGTATAATGACATTACTAGTTTTGAAGCCTTGTACACCTATGTAGTCTGTCTTGATAGACTACGTAAGGAACAAGTTTTATTTGATCATTATAAAAATTAAATATTAGAATTAGAGGTGATGTCGTACTTGTTCATGTAAAAAGTGATATCTTATTTTTTTTCATATTGAAAAAATAAGAACAAAATGTTACATTTTATTCCATAGCTTTTACAGTATATTTGTGGATTTTTTTTTTATTATTTTTTTTTAAAATCAAAACTTTCACACCTACCCAAAATATTCATTATTTCTTACATAAAAATATTTTTATTATTATGCAATATTTGTTCATTTATTTTTACAAACTCTTTGTGAGAAGAATTGTGCAACTAGAATGAGAATTGGTTAATCACACTCCATATCTTTAAACGCCTTCTCAGCAACCATCCCATTCCATGTTGTAGAATGAACATATCTTCTACTCAAAGAATATGACTTATCATATATATATATTGGCACATGAGAGGAAGTGACAACCCTGCGGTGATAGATCACACAAACCCTCGCCCCACCATGTGACCTGTGACCGTGGATCGAAGCCCCTTTCCTCACAAAGCCGAAGCGACCCTTTCAACTGCTCCCATACAGGTCCCCAGGAAGACGCCACTTGGCACCTTGCCTAGCTGGACTTGACTCCTAAATGGCGAGAGGTTCGGACCGCTTTCGAATCTTAACACGTGTCAGTCTGTGTTCCACCTGGCACGACGGGTTGGATGCCCAGTCACCATGGGGTCGGGAGGGATTTGGTCTCCAGCTCATCCAATTTTGTCGATAACTGTGTCTGGTACTCTCGAATAAAGGAACCCTCCAACGCCAGCTCAGCACGTCAGACCACACGGGCACCAGTGAATCGGGCAGTTAAATTTTCTACCTTGAATTTGTATTTAGTGTTTGTTTTTTATAACTTCACTGTTCTCAATGATAGAGAAGCTAATTTTGGGTGATGGTGGCTTTAACTCACACGGGCTTTTGGTCATGTCCTTTGGATTGGGACCAAGCTCATAAATAAAACAAAAAATAAAATGACCTTTGAGGAGTAGGTGGTGGCTTTCATAAAGTTCCACCCTCTTTCTCATGCAGGATTTTCCTTTGGCCTTTCACGACACGTTGTGCCAAAGTTAATTTCTCTACCTTAGGGTCCGTTTTTTTTTTTTTTTATACCAACTAAAGGATTCAATCAGAAGCCTTGAGGAGGGGGATCTCACCCTCTTTAAAGGAAAGCCCATATGGGGCCGTAACTTTCTAAACTTTGGGGTTAATTTACTGGAATTAGGACATCTCTACAAGAATTGACCAAGACTTAGGTGTCGAATTGATAGTGGAAGTATAAATTTGTTGGTTTGACTGGCTCAACATGAATATATACACGTAAGGTCCTAGAAGGTTGGGGCATTATTGGATTTTAAGTGGTGACTCTGGAATATAAGAACATAGAATTTCCTGGGAAATAGAGAAAGAGAGCATTTAAAAGGGCATTTAGCCATGGACTTGAATAGCTTGGTTCAAGGTTTTGGCCCTTATTTGAAGGTAATTGATTACTAGGAATTAAGGCAAAGTAGAGCTTGAATAAGTGGCATGTGCCATATGTATGATAAAGAGAAAGAAAGAAAGAATAAGAACTCATAAAATGCCCTGTTTTTATAAAAGGCCCTCACTCTTGACTTCAACATGCTCCATATATACACACACACACACACTAATCTGTTGGTCATGTAATATTTAAAAAATCCACTTCACAATGCTAAGTGTCACCATTAATGGAATTCTGCTTTCAATTAAATTCAAGGAACATAATTTGTTTACTTGGTAAACCAATTTGCATCAAAATCTTCATCCAAGAAGCAAATGCAATTAGATATCTTGTAAATGCCCAGCCAAATTTCAAAAATGAAGGATCTTGTGCTACCAATAAATGTTGATAATCACCCATGCATCCAGTTTTTTTAGCAAGTGATCAAAACCTTAAAAACAACATTATGCATTTCACAAGTAAACACTCAAATTACTAAATAACAATAATTTATCAAGAAAACAAGGAGTTATTTGTCTGATTGCATGTACACATTAACCAAACATTAAGAATAAAGACTATTACCAAATAAAGCAAGAGATATATGATCCGTGTCAGAATATTCAAACAGGGGGTCGGAAACCTTTATATACAAGAGAATAATATACAGAGAAAATACAAATCAGGCATAGCAGTATATGGGGAACAACATAGGGAACTCTAGTGGGCACGTTCTCATGCAGAGAACAGGAGATTGGGGTGTGCGCTGAGGTAATGAATCACGGGTTCGAATCCCGACACTGTTGAGGATGCGGCGACGCAGCCACTTTCCAGGGGCGGGTATGGAGGTTGCGCACCGGCACGCGTCGTCAACAGCCTCGCCACATGCGTTGCTGCTAATCCCGTCATCGCCGTGGTCGCTGTGATGTAAGCCTGCTTGCGCTTGTCCCACTTCACCAATTCCCTCACTTCCAACTCTCGCAATCGTCACTGCTCTTCAGTCAGTCTTCGATCCCACCCTCCCTCCTTTCATATCCGTAATCCCCTCCATTACTACCATTTTCCTCATCCTGAATTGGTGTAGATTCAATTAGGATATCGTTTTGGATGATCGCAATCATCTAGTCAGATTGACGATCGACTCGTCGCAACCAGCTGAACTGTTTCCGGTTGGGTCCGTTGGCCGTGATGCAAAATGTGTTGATCCAGGCTCGATGCGGATAATGCACGCTGATGACATGCACGCGCTGCTGCGGCATGCGCATTGAACCATTGAGTTTTAGTCACTTTATACGTGAAGGAGAGTATCTGGTTTTGAGAACGTCGGACTTCACTCGATGATTTCAGACTAGCAGTTGTTTGTGAGTGCGTGGGTGCAATCAATGTGGAATTGAGACAGTCTGTGAAAGAAGCGGTTTCCTTGGGTGATGGCATCGGAGTACGGTTTTGTGGTGTGATTCTTACGCGATTGGTTCTGAATTTGGAATCCCAAGCAGATTTAAGAATTTTCAAGCTGGTATGAAGTCGAGGTGATGTATTTTCACGCTGTCATACGCTTTCTCTTCGGTTGCGCCTCGATGCGCATTGTTCCACAACCATCTGAGGATTCTCAGCCCAACATTGACGCGCAGAATGGGCCTTTAACGCAGTGAATGCTGCTTCTGGATAGTTTCTCAAGGACTTTGACACACTTTTCTCTTCTGAAGATCTTCATTTAGAATAATACTTCGTAGAAATCATGGAATCGGTAGCGCAATTAGAGCATTCACAGAGTAATGGGAACTCGCAGAGACAGGGCCCTGCATGGTTATCGCCCCTGCTTCGGAAGGAGTTCTTCGGGCATTGCAAGAAGCACACGACAGGGAAGCATGAGAAGAATCAGTTCTGTCTCACGTGTTGCTCGGGGCCTTACTGTCCCGAAGGTCTAAGTCAGTCCCACTCGGGTCACGCATCGGTGCAAGTGCGCAAAGCATCTCACCGCGACGTAGTTCGCATTACCGACATTCACAAGTACCTGGACATCTCCAACATTCAGGCCTACACCATAAACAGTGCCAAGATTGTTTTCCTCCAAAGCCGGCCGCAGCCCAAATTGTGCAAAGGAGCCCCTAAGTACTGTGATACTTGTCACCGGAGCTTGGCGGACCAGGTTAGGTTCTGCTCAATCAACTGCAAACTCGTTTCAATCAGCCACGAATTGACTGGTGGGTCTGCAACCGAGGAGACGCTCTCTCCCCCGACCGACGCGCGGAGCATTTCAGGAAATCCGACTCAGAGTGGGGAGGGTTCCAGCCACCTTGCGCCTTCGGTAAGCAACGGCCACGACGGAGAGAGCGCCATGAACTGTGAGACGGCCACTAGTTTCTTTCCTGTGACGCCGAAGAAGCAAGGCACCAAGCGACGGAGCAGTCCTTCCTGCAAGCTCAGGCTGGTAGTGCCGTCTAACAAGAGGAAGGCATTGGAGGATGGGGCTGCCCCCCTCTCCCCCATGTCCGTTCTCGGTTCTGGACCAGCTTTCGCTCAGGACTGGCCGGATTTCCACGGTCTCTCCACGCCCGATAGCCTCGACGACTCCAGTACGCGAATTCATCCCCGGAAGCAGTTCCACCCTTCCCGAGCGCCGTTCTTTTGATTGCTTGCAGCGGTCGCCACTCATGGTCGACTTCCGTTGGAACTCTTCCCGCAAGTGGGGCCGTGTCACTTCATTGTACATATTTACAAACCTTTGGTATGAAAGGAATGCCATACTTTCATTCAGCTTGCAGTTGAAACGGTTCTTGTCAGAAGGGAGATCACACTATGACACCAGGTAGACTCGCTGGCTGTTTCATGCCCATTTTGTCCACTTGAGGTTTGTTGATTCATAATGGAGGTTTGTGTTGTGAGATATTACAGTAATTTGGATTGCTAATCAAGATTTTGCTTTCCTTGTACAGAAGAAACTTGAAGCTTGCAAGACTGGGAAAGAATTGAAGGAAGTTGCAGCCATTATTGAGCTGCTAACACTTGCTTTGTATCTGTGTTGAATAAGCCTGCTGCTGCCAGCGCCTTCTCGGGTTGTCTCATCAATAATTTGTGCACTTCCAGCACGAGATAGACTGATGGCGTACAACGCAATCTCTCCAATATACAAGCTTCGTGGCTCATCCGTGGTGTTCAGAATACGGATGTCAGACTGCGGCTCGAACAATTTTGACACTCCGTTGTATATGTCATTGGATTGTATCGTAATACACGTTGCAGAGCACCTCGCTCGTGCTAACAGTACAAAGAGTACTGTACAATGTTCATGTATATATAAACTGTGAGAACAATAAATGACCAGCTCAGAATTGAGCCGAGAAATCATTCCCGCTATTACATGCTCCCTTCCAAACACAATGTCTGTTACAATTGAGAAAATGTGATAAATGAATTTCTACGTTTTTCCTTTAAAGAATAGAGCGAACGCGTAAGTTTTCCATGAACTCTGAGTTGTTCACCTTAATCCTGGGAGAAATTATTTGAGAAGCCTTACCTCGTCTGCACAAGACCACAAGCACACGGTTCAAAGTCTACCACGTGACATAGCAGGAGATATATGCATAGGTCACTCTAGTAGTTAAGTAAGCAAAGAAAGCTACAATTTAGCCAAAATACTAATGTGAAGAGGTGGATTAGTCGGTGTGTTTCGCACGGAAAGCCTCAACTTGCTGTTATGACAAAGTGCCCCACTTTTCAGAAACCCACATCTTTAAACTTCCCATTACGGTTGTCGTAATCAGCAATGACAAGGTTCCGTCATCTAGTTAGGTACAGAATTGAAAAGATGCTCGCATAGAATCAAATGGTTTAGTTGTTGGTAGCTTAGTTAGGATTGAGTTGTGTGTTGGAAATTATTTGAGCAGTTCAACAACCTCACACTGCACTGCATAGACGTTCCGATGTTGTGGAGAAAGCTCGACTCACAAACTGGAAGAGACATTCAAGGTTTTTAGAATTGATCTCGATGTCCTCAGCAGCCTTGTCTCTTTCATCTTTTCGACCGGCACATGAAGTTCACGATTGCGCTTCAAAGCACACAGCACGTGGACCAATGCATGTGCGCAATCTCAGTGCAGACCAGTGTCAGCCTGCGATCAACCGGAGTCTCGAAGTTAATTAACTATTGTAGTTTCCCAATATCTGACAGTGCAAAAAAGATAATCGCCGGAATTAGAAGGAGAAAGATTCGGATCTTTGACCAGGTCCTGGTCAATCCTGTTACGAATATGCAAGTTGACAACCGCAGGACACTTGTTGGTAACACGGAGCAGGAGTCAAATTTATAAAGGCCAACTCACATACTTATTGCAGGGAAATAAGCAACAAAGCACACATGTTTCTGTGAAGTAAATACCTGGCATATCGCTCTGTTTGCTCGTAAGTTCGAGGCTATTTTTTTTTTGTTACGGAACTCATTTGCGTACTTTCTGCAGGACTTTTCAAAATCCAGCTTAGAGCTAGCCTGTTGTGTGAAGCACCATGGAAACAAGTGTTTATGTCATTGCAGGGATTCTGTCAAAACAGGGGCTAAAATTTAAATGTATAGCTTTCTGAAAATCCAGAGCCAGAGGCTGGTGGGAAACTGAACCCCAACCTTGAAATGACTCACAAGTAAGTTCCTTTATGACTATTAAAAGCCCGAGGTCTACAGTGCGCACATCGGAAGCAATAAGTGAGATGAATCAAACCTGTGGAAGAGACTTTCTCACAGCGCAGCGAGGTTGATGTTCCCGAGTGTGCACCAAACTATACGGGTCTGTTGCAAAGCCGACACAAATTCAAAAACCCTCACAGCTCTTGAGAGCCAAAACTCGGAGCGATCTCACCCTCATATTCAATCCACTTCGACTCACCAGAGAAATCTCATTCAAAATGAATCAAACAGTTTGGTGAGAGAAGGTTGAAGTTCCGTGAAGCTCTGGTGTCGCATCAAGGAAGCCCCACCAGAAACGCCAAATGACAGGCTACTCAAACGTAACCTTCTTTTGGTGCACGGAGCTCGGTTTGTAAGTATTTGCCGTGCCGAGTTTCATCTTGGGTCTTAAACTTCATCTAGAATTGGGTAAGGCAATAACAAATAAATCGACAAAGTGGGGAAGAGAAAGAAAGAGTGCCTGGCGGCAAGTCGATTTTTTTTTTTTTTTTTTTTTTTTTTTTTTTGCTGCGGTAGGTTTTGTGTGTTTAGAGCCGATCCTGAGTCTAGCGAAAAATGTTACAAAGACAAGTTCAGTTTTTTGGTCAGTGGCCTTTGCATTTGGGTGCGATCGGAAACTCTGCCATAAACGGCTGCAATCCGTGCATGTCGTCTTCCTCTGATGTCCGTGCTACATAAATCAATTGACATGGTTTAGGGGTTTTTTTTGGTCAAGCGGACTTAAGTCTTGGAGGTTGTGTGCAGAGGAGAGAGCGAGGCAACGAGAAACATTTTCGCCCCACAATGTGACGGTGCTTACTCCACCAAGGTACCTCGGGGTCTACAGCCTGTCTCCGGTAAAAACCGCTATTTCTGACCATCATATCATCGTCGTCGGCAAGTTGATTTCGAGGGTATTGCGAGTGAATTGGGCTGGTATGTGCGAGCTGCATTGTGACAGGACAATCTGTCTGTATTTTCTTCCCTTGTGCATAGTGTTGCTCTTTCATGCATCACCTTTGTTTCCCGTTTGGCAAGTATGCAGGGGATTGCGTGAGCGAACTTAGTTTCCAGAGACGATGGTGATCCAGAGGGATTAGTCAAGACGACGTTCACTCGACATGCTTCTCACTTTCATGCATTAATTGCCTTCTGCCATAATGAGTCGTTCAATTCCAAGGCAACGTCGCGACGCCCTTTCCAAAGGCCCGTTTCGAAGTGGTGTAGAGCGGTTACTGTAAAATCTACATACTACCTATCTGTCACTCACAAAAATCTACCTCGCGTCACGAGTATGAAAGATTACATGGGAGGGTGAAATGGACCTGGAAAAACATCAAAAGAAGAAAGAACGTACACCAACAAAGGTGTAAAGAGGTGAGGAAGAGAAATTGAAAGCCCGCATCGAGTTTCGAATTGTAGCAGTGGCGAGATACGCCGTCATTTTCAGATGTGTCTACGATTACGACGCATCCTGTCGAGATTCCTGTGTCAATGGAAAATTCAGTCTCGCGATTGAAGAAAATCATGTTACGAAATACACTTGTTTTTCACAGAAGCAGGTAGAAAAACAGTACTGAAGGCATTAGGTCAAAGGCAGCATATCGCCATTTCGCAGGCGAAATTTCCAACATTCGTGCCAGATTCAGGGCCTGCGTACCGGGAAAAATGATCCTTGCTAATTGACCCAAATCGCGCTCGAGCCAATTGACAGCCTCGTAATTATTGATCCCTTTGAAAAAAACATCACGAACTTGAAAAGGTGCAAGCGCCGAAGAAACATTTATGAAAAGGCGTAGGTCATAACCTCTCTCAAGGTTTCGAAAAATGATTCAAACTTTTCAACCCAAAATTCCACCCCAAACCCAAGAAATCACGAAACAGGCTCCGTGAAGCAGGCGGTGAAGTGATTTGATGAAATTCCCCGGCACCGAAATGTAATCAAATTGGAGTTGAGGACGAGAAAATGAGACCTGGACGGTGTAGCTACACGGAGAGCGTCGCGTCTGGGGTAAGGATGAACCTGAATTTCTTGAAAAGCGAAATCGGCGAAGCTGTGAAGACAAATGTAGATGCGCATATGAGCGGTAGTCTCCTGCTTGCTCTCCCGAGCGCCGAGACTAACAAGGCCTTGGCACAGTACGAGTGCGATTGTTTCGTGATAGGGAACGACACGTGCTCTGGCACATGTCTCTGTCACATGGCTATGAAAGTATGTGACGTGGCTTGCAACTGCCATGGATTCTGCTGCAATAGCTTCGCAACGATGCCGAGGTTGGACGTGAGAGAAGGTGCGCTCGGACAAGAGTTGTTCACTGATCACGATCTTCCACAACAGAAAATCGCATTCGTAGTGTGTGGACAGATACTCTCAGAAGTTCTGCATCACGACATTGCGACGATCGACCCACGGCGGCAACACTACGGTGTTAGAGTCTCGTGGCCCGGACACAGCAAAGACGTTCCAGGCAAACCTGGAGAAGTAGAGTTTGTGCTTGATCCCATGACGCACATCTCCGGAATGGCAAATCACAGCTGCGATCCAAACATTGTTGTCGGCCCTTGGTAAGCATGTATGTTTTCGCAACAATATCGAATTATTTGGTGACGTCTACAATGCGGGGGAAGATCCACCGAAAGAGGAAATAAATTAGAATAAGTTAAGGGCATTTCGGATTCGTCTAGACAGATTGAAAACCACCAGACATGCAAGCTTACAGTCTGTGGCATGCAGCTGGTCGAACGGGAAAGTGTATGCCGTGGGTAAGACGATCCGCAGAATCATATCGAAAGAAGCTCTTACATTCGATTATAAGTGGGTCTTGTGCATCATGGATTACCAGAATCGTAAAATTAGAGCTCAGGAAGAATTCTTCAAGATTCCTTAAGAAGACCAGAAGCTTCACTTGTACTGCAAATTCGATTGACTGGAGAGAGTCAGTGCCATAGGTTTCGTTCTAATAAGGGATTGAATGTGGTGGATACGTTTGATAGATGGGCGGGAGTGGAAAACGGACCAGCGGCGGAGCTATGTTTTTGCCGATCGGGTCGTTGTCGAGGGTTCATTGCGGACCCCGCCAGCGGTTTTATGGCGAAGAGCATACGCCACTACGAGAAGGAGCTAGCTTGTCTCTCAATTTGCCGCGACGATGATGAGAAGTATTTACTGGACAAAATCACGAGAATGAATTCAGAAGACAACAAGGGTCTCACTATCAACCAGCAACTGAGTCTCTTCCTGAACGCCCTACATGAAGGCCGCCCTACAAAGGGCTAAGGATGCCATGGCCGAAGCCCGACACGATACGTGCAAGGAAAGGCATGCGAGAAACGCAAGGAAACTTGCAAGTTTGAGCTGCTTGAGCATCCAACAACAGGAACTGCCACAGATTCCACATCCTTCGCCAGCTTTCTCTGGTGCCGAGCCGAAAGTCTCGTGTCTAGGAGGGCTTGCGACCAAGGACCAGGATGAGTCCATACAACCGCTGCCTCTCTCCTTAACGCTGGCAAGTGGAGGAGCCCTACGGTACGCCCCAGGCTGTAAACCCCCTTGGATCCCCTCTGGAAGCCGCAGCAGAAGAACTTCAAACCTGAAGCATTTCTCCTACTCAATTCCTACCTCACGAGTGCTGGCGCCACGAACGGTCCGTTTCGGCCAGTCCGCCGTGACTCCGCGTTTAAAACCCCTGGGGCAACGCCCCGGAGACGTCAAGTACTGGCCGGAGGGAGGATTGATGAGCCTAGATGAGAGGAAAAAGCTCATGTTGTGGATCGAGGGTCGAATCAGCGCGCGAGACCACTCGCGATCCGTCTCCCCGCCTATCAATGCCGCCACCTTCGCAATCTGGCTGCATATGAGAGTGTCAAAACCCGATGAGAATGCAATGCGGTGGTTCAGGATTCATTGGTCAGGGTTGAGCACGCGGGATCTAATGGACAGATACGAGGAGGAGACAGGCGAGGTAGGGGTGGTGTCGAGCAGGGCTGTGCACTGCATCCTCACGGACATTTTAACGTTCACGCCATTTATGTGGACCAGCTGCGTCAAGCTTGTGGAGGATAAAGTTGACGGCGATCGTTGGCCCCTCTTGTGGTCGGATCTCTTGACACTTCCAGGAATTGTTCCGGAATTCTCCGCGGATCGGCTGTGCATGGGTCATCGGTTGTGTTGTTCACAGGAATCGTGATCTCTCCGTGCCAGCACCCAATTCCGCCCGCTCATGACACTCTGCATGTGTTGCTGCTTACACTCTGTATATATATATATATATATATGTATGTATGTATATATATATATATATATACATACATACATATTTCACGAAATATTTCCAAAGATCTGCATTACACATTTAAGGCAAGATCATGATGAAAATATTGCTTAAAACAATAAAGGAAAAGAAAGAAGAAACCCACACACACAAATAGAAGTCTATAAATGAATCAATATACAGGATTCACGGATATGTTGAGAATGCTTAATTTATCGTTTCAGGCATATGGTCCTAATGTATGTCACTGCAATAATTTATTGCAATGCAACGTACATGCTGCATAATCTTAATGGTCTTCACGGTAGATTTTTTATATTTGAAATGAAGATTGGGAAAATATCACCACATTTAAATTCTATTATATTATTGGTATACTTAAGGTACAGAATTTCTTCCAATCTCTTCAATTAAATTTAGTTTACATCAAAATATTCTTAAGATACATATCACTACCACAAACATCAATTTTCACACAGTCGTGGCCTCATTCACGAACCATGCAACACCACTCCCACAATATTATCTTTATACAATATTATATTATATGTTGCTGCTTACCTTCGTTTTGATTTGATGCCTATAGAATTAAAGTGAGCTCCCTCTTTTTGCTCTTTCTCTTAATGCTTGAGGTAGTTTATTTTACATAAATAACACTAAGCATATGGATAATGGAAGTTTAGTTTTTTTGGATATTATTAATAGAGCTTTAGATTTTTGTTGAGACTTAGATGCAATGTTGTAAGTAAGAGAGCAAATTTAAGAAAAAAAGGAAGAAGATGCATATTTAACAAAGTTTTTGAATAAAATTAGTAAATTTTTTTTTAGGTTTGTTTAGAATTAGGGTGAAGGATATTGGTATAAAAGGTTTTTTTTGCTAGTTTCTATTCTTGAATAGATAAGATTTTAAAATTGGATGTTGGCAAGTTTCAAAATGTTATATTGTAAAGTATATAAGATTGATTTGAAGGATATAAGTAAAGTAGGCTTTAAAGATATGAAGTTCAACAAAGCCATATATTTATTTATAAATAGATTTTATCTTTTTAGAAAATTGTAGAAAATCAATCCTTTTATGGAAAAGTTTGTAAAAAAATAAGCAAAAGTTGTGAGCTTGAAGTTGGTTGATGCAATGCACTTAACAACAACCACAATGCTATTGTTAGTTGTTGAATTGAAATGAAGTTATGGATAACTGCTATGATAGTTGGATGATTCATCTATAATTAAATGCATGTATTACAAAAATAATCTAAATCTATGCAAGAAGATAAATCTTTATTTATTTTAAGGATTCGTCAAGGAATGGTTTAATGGTCTATATGATATTAATATATTTCATATGATCAAGCATAAATCAATACTTTTTGATTTGTTTATTTCTTCAATTTCTAAAAGTATTTTGTATTATTTGTGCATAAAGATGATCCTTGAGTTGAGATTTAATATTATTTATAAATTTCAAGAAAATAAATAATAATCTTGAAATCTTTGTTTGTCTATCTTAAAATTATTGTAGAAGCAAATAATTACTCCAAAAAGATCATGCAAGAGTTATTAATATAATTTAAATTATTAAATATAAATATTACCATAAGCTATTAGTGTAGTTCAAATCACTACAAGATGCTTATGACTAATATTATGTTAAGTAAGATCCTACAATGAAGTTATTTAATGCAAAATTTGGAGTTGAAGTAATTAGATCTCAAATCCATCATGCTAGCATGAATGATGTGTTGGTAATGTTATAATTTATTAGTAAGCTTTGTCTATGTTCTGTACTCAATTGATACATTATTCTATCTTTTTTGAGGAAATAAAATTATTTTCTATATTTTTTATGAGGAAGCCAATCAATTAAAATATATGCATCTTATATAGTTTAATAGATTAATCTTATATCTCCTTTGAAGTGTATATTTTTTTAATTTTTTGACCTTTTATTCTTTACTTGATTCATGCATTGGAGCAAGTACTTTACAAAGGACTTCTTTTTTTGTAGAAAAACTCTATAACATGATTTTTTAGTATATTTAATTTTACTTGGTTGAATCTCTTAATCTTTGGAGAAAAATTATGTCTCTAGTTTGAGATTGGCTTACTTGATTAAATCCTAGGACCAAGTTATTTCTTCTCTCTTGGATTTTGTCTTTTTTTTTTGGTGATATCATGCAATTATTTTTACTATATATTAAACTAGAATAAGCTTGTAAATTATGGTCTAAAAGTATTTGTACAATTAAAATGATTAAATATAAATGTTTAAAGTCTCTATAATTTTTTTTAACATCTTGTAGTTTCTTTGAAACATACAATAACTATTTTACAAATCTTGATCTAAGAAGCATTTAACATCTTTATTTCAAATGCTTCTATTCAAATATGAACATCCTAAATTTGACTATCTTCTCCAAAGTATTCAATTATTATTTTTTTTCTCAAAGCTATACTATCATGAAAAGACACTTAGTTCCTAATGCCTAAGTTTGATTGAGTGCAAACATAGTTGTTAGCATGTAGATAGGACAATAATCAAGCGTAGGTGCAAATACACATACCTTTGTAATTATCTATTTGATTTGTATGCTAAAAAATCTTCATCTTTTCCTTAGCATCTTATTGTTTGAAACTCTACTTACAATCATCTACCTTCTTCTAACATATTTGTACACAGTATTGTAATATGTTTGTTCCCTAAGAAATAATAAACCATGCAATAACTTCTTCTTCTAAGAACCAAGTTTGTAGTAGTTTTAATTGCAATCCAATAATATGAGCTTAGTATCATGGCATCATCTTAAAATATTTATAATCAACGTATAGATATGCACTATCAATTAATGCAAAAATATATACTCATTGCAGCTTTATTAAATAAAATGAAGAAATCATACTTTAAGTACAAATACTATTGTGATGAAAGCAATGCCATTATTCAATTTATTTTTACTAATCTTCTTTTAATAGAACTTATACAAATATATCCTTACATATTCTATACATGAATGGACAACCTTCATGTAGTGCTAGAATTAAATTGTAAGTAGTTGTAAAATTGATCTTTTTGAATGGAATTGATAAAAACTTCAGCAAGTTTATGTTAATCATTCTATTATTATTAATTACATACTGTCAGCTAAAAATCCTTCCTATCCACTTTAAGAAAAAAATAATAATTACACAACAAGTTTAAAAGGTAGTAGAAACTAACTGTGTGATTATTTTAATGGTTAGCTAATTAATCAAGTGGTTGTAGTTTCAACTTTTTAGATAATACCTTCCAAACAATAGTTATGATTTGATGTAACTTAAAACAAGTGATAAAAAATAAAATAAAAAAGAAAAAAATAAGATAAAAATAATAAAATAAAAATAGGTATATATATATATATATATATATATATAAAGAAAAAAAGCAAATGTGTGGAACAACATAGCATAACTAGATGAAAATAGGTACCTCTAGATAAAACAATACCACTAGACAAAAATAGTGCCACTAGATGAAACATCATAATTAAATGAAAATAATATTTTGGATAGAAATAATATAGCTAGATGAAAATAATACAAAGTACTAGCAAAAAACCTTGAGGATAGAGCTACAATATTAGCAAACCTCTAAGGTAAAGCAGCAATACCAAAGAATATATCAACTTCAAATCTTTATAATTTTTTTAATTCAATTCCAAATTTGATGATTTTTTCGCCCAATATTACTAATTTTATCTCTCATACATAATAAATATATCTAATAAAAAAATCTTACTTACAATAAACTATAAGAAGACGAGTAAGAATATAAAATAAATAATTCATAATATAAATTTATAACAAATAAAAACACTACAACTCT